CATACATCTGTAATGTGTATGTTAAGTCTTGACCTGTACCTAGCCCGTCGTGGCATGAATGTACAAATTACAATAAAGGTATTTCAATATTTCCCCGAAAAGAAGTCGCTGTGCTCAAGCGAACGAACGCTGCCCCTCTTGAGGTCCGCACAGGAAGCTACTTTATGTGTACGACAGTTTCTTGTGTTTACGTGAGCTAAAATCAATACAACCGAAGACAGATAAGTTGAAGGGGAAATGGAAAGAGAGAAAATTTAAAACGCTCCATCAATCATAGAGACGGCTTTACTTCAAAGTAAAGGTAAATCCATACACACCAGCAAATACAGATATCCCCGACAGACTTGCAATGCTTTACATACCTTCTATTGAGGACGCGATAGTGGCGTTGATGTTCAACTAGAAAGGTAACATTTGCAAAGCAAATGCATATTGTTTACCTTCGCATATGGTCTACTCTGTCAATTCTTACTCAAATACATTCATATGTATGGTCAGACAGGAGTCTAAATCCTTCCTGCTATGAAATTGCAACCGTTGATGATGTAACCAAGCTTACGGTACCCAACACTCGTTACCATGGTGACAGGTGTCGACAAATCAGGTCATCGGCCAGGTCCAGAGAATTTGGAGCGGAAGAAGAGGAAACGTGGCAAAAACAACATGTTTTCCTTCGGTGAGCATGGATATGGTCAATGTCTTATTAAATTTTAAGAACGTAAGGCATGACAGAGGTACAGAGGTACAAATGTAGGGACCGTCACGTGCACGGCCGATATGTTTAGTGTTGTAGATTCACCTAACTCTGGACGAGACCTGAAGACGGGAAGTCTTGCTAATCTCCAAGCAGATCTTTCGGTGTGGGAAAGTCAAATTGGCCAGCCTGTATCCATTTGCCCACTGAAGGACACAGGCTGGCCAATAAATGAATTTGATACTGTCCACCGAAAGATCTGCTTGGAGATAATAACGTCTTGCTCAAGTTTGGGCGTAGCGGCTCCTTGATTAGATGAAGGACATTCTACAAGTCTGTAAAACGTCCTTGATTAGATGTAACGTTGCTAGTTATCTCCGAGAAGATATATTTTCGCTAAGTTTCAGTGGTTTACACGTGTTTTGCGTGGTATATAAAGTTCACTCCTTTTATAATCTCATCAAACTACTACTAGTTGAAGGTTAAGTAAATGTGCGTGTCTCTGACATGTGTTGTAACGTTGCTGCGTAGCATTCGCTTTAATTATGTTTTATCGAAGGAAAACATATTGGTTTTTTTGCTACGTTTCCTCTTCTTCTTCTCATTCCGTTCCAAACACTGACCTCTGAGACGAGTGGGTTTTTGTCTTCGTCAGAAGGACTATGAAATTGTCTCGCCGGAGTGTGGGGAACTGCGGATTTTGCGATATAACTCTGGAAGGCATGACTCGACGTCCATGATTTTTGGCAGGCAGATTACTGCTGTTAAGGCCAAAGTCAAGTACAAGTTTGGGCTTCGTGGGGGGTCCGTGCGTCACGTTAGTGCACCTTTTGTGTTTGTGGCTTGTTAGCAAGATAACTCAAGTATTTGTAAAATGTTGATTATAATTCTTGGTGTGGTGCTTACAATTGTCGGGACCAAGGTTAAGTTCGTTACTGAGCTTCGTGGGGGGTTTCGTTGTGACTACAGGGGGCATTTTGTTAATTTTTCTTGTGAGCAGGATAACTTTTGTATGTATGAATGGAAGTTAATGAAATTTGATAGGCATATTACTGTCGTGGTCTCCAAGATTGAGTTCAAAGATGAGAGTCGTGGAGGTAGTTATGTCCCCGTAATAGGACCTTTTGTGTTTAGAAATCCCCCACCTACATCTGCTTGGAGACAGCCGACAGCTGGATATAGCGGGGAACCCCATAATGGGATGGGATCAAATGACGTTACATTGAGGGATTGTACTATAACTTCAGCAGGGGGAGGATAGGTTGGACATATGTCAGGTTATTTTCTACGGCCACACCAAGTAATTGCTATGGATGACGTCCACTGGAGACCTTAAATCTAATTACCTTGAATTTAAGGCAAGCGCGCAATAAAAACACGAAGGGCCGAAAAACGAGATGCCTAGATTTGGAATATACTAACTGTAGAAGTACAAATGTTAGGACACAAAGAACACAAGAAACAAGTCTTCTATTTGTCATAAAGACAAATTAACAAAACAGCAGTAGTCACCCTGTTCTGATTCTTTCCTTTATAACATCTTCTCTTATTATATTTTGCGGCGCTGTCGTGACACTTTCAACACAGTAAGAATTTCTTGAACGTTTTTTTCCAGTAACAGTCCAAACTCAAATAACGTAGGGGGGGGGGGGGGGCCTAACACGGGTGACGACGCATCTGTATAATCTGCGGCAAACCGTTTCAGGGTGTTCTGTACCATAAAAATAGTACAGAGATTCTTTTGTTCTTTAGACCAAATTGATTATTAAAAAGATTGAAGAATACGCATGTTAATTTCTCTAGAACGATGTACCTCTGACGAAGACATGAGATCTCCGACCTCTAGTTTCTCCATGTTTCTAATACGTTTGAATCATTTAGAAAAGAATACCCCAGTAACTTGTTAACAAAAGTTCTAAATTTTTCAAAAATTGGAAAATGAAAATTTGAATATATTCGAATTCATTTATATATTTCTGAAACATTTTGAAAGTGACTGTACAAAGATCTCTTTATTGTCTTCGTCAGAAGGACTATGAAATTGTCTCGCCGGAGTGTGGGGAACTGCGGATTTTGCGATATAACTCTGGAAGGCATCATTCGACGTCCATGATTTTTGGCAGGCAGATTACCGCTGTTAAGGCCAAAGTCAAGTACAAGTTTGGGCTTCGTGGGGGGTCCGTGCGTCACGTTAGTGCACCTTTTGTGTTTTTGGCTTGTTAGCAAGATAACTCAAGTATTTGTAAAATGTTGATTATAATTCTTGGTGTGGTGCTTACTATTGTCGGGACCAAGGTTAAGTTCGTTACTGAGCTTCGTGGGGGGTTTCGTTGTGACTACAGGGGGCATTTTGTTAATTTTTCTTGTGAGCAGGATAACTTTTGTATGTGTGGATGGAAGTTAATGAAATTTGATAGGCATGTTACTGTGATGGTTTCCAAGATTGAGTTCAAAGATGAGAGTCGTGGAGGTCGTTATGTCCCCGTAATAGGACCTTTTGTGTTTAGAAATCCCCACCTACATCTGCTTGGAGACAGCCGACAGCTGGATATAGCTGGGGAACCCCATAATGGGATGGGATCAAATGACGTTACATTGAGGGATTGTACTATAACTTCAGCAGGGGGAGGATAGGTTGGACATATGTCAGGTTATTTTCTTCGGCCGGCCACTCCAAGTAATTGCTATGGATGACGTCCACTGGAGACCTTAAATCTAATTACCTTGAATTTAAGGCAAGCGCGCAATAAAACACGAAGGGCCGAAAAACGAGATGCCTAGATTTGGAATATACTAACTGTAGAAGTACAAATGTTAGGACACAAAGAACACAAGAAACAAGTCTTCTATTTGTCATAAAGACAAATTAACAAAACAGCAGTAGTCACCCTGTTTTGATTCTTTCCTTTATAACATCTTCTCTTATTATATTTTGCGGCGCTGTCGTGACACTTTCAACACAGTAAGAATTTCTTGAACGTTTTTTTTTCAGTAAC